CTTTTGGCTCACTTTCACGGGATTTATGACTTGATTTATGCTTTCGCGAGTGTTTTCTATCCGACGACTTCTCCTCATTGTGTTTGCGTTTACTGCTATACGACTCGTTGGGCTCTTCTTCCTCTTCGTCTTCGTGACTAATGTATTCGGTCTTAATTTTATGGCCATTCCTCTCGTGTGACCTATTCTTAACCGGCCTATGGATCGGTTCTTCTTCGGACTCTTCCTCTTCGGGCTCTTCTTTAACAGTGGGCTCTTCTTCGGGCTCTTCTTCGGGCTCGTCGTCGTAGTCCTGGTTATCGTTGTCGTCCTCATCGGCGGACTCTTCGCGCTGTTCCTCGCGTTCCTGTTCTTCCTTAACGGTCGTCTTCCACGCGCCGCACAATAGCTTCGCTGTTTTGCCCACATCTGAGTCCGACTGTTGTTTACTTAAATGACGGACTGTTTTACCGATTCCTGTCTTCTGTATTCACAAAACAGAAATTCAAATATTTTATTGGTTAACAAAAAAATCAGATGCAATACATATACATAGCCGGCAGTTATTGGCAGTAAAAATGCATTGCCATAACATTTCTATGACAACTAAATAGTGAGTCTTACTATACGTGTCCCCCCGGGAGTTGACCTCAAAAAATATGCTCAAATGGTGGTCAATTATAGCCGGCAGTTATTGGCAGTAAAAATGCATTGCCATAACATTTCTATGACAACTAAATAGTGAGTCTTACTATACGTGTCCCCCCGGGAGTTGACCTCAAAAAATATGCTCAAATGGTGGTCAATGTGTCAAAGTTTGTGCCAATCGGGGTCTCAATAAGGGGACACATATGGAGGGCACACATGTATGTCTGTTGTCTGTCATAATTGCCGGCAATTGTACGCAATGGTAGGTAATGTCAACTCACATGTAATAACTCTATAGTAATGGGAATTTTCTGCAGTTTATGCAAGATATGCAAAGTCTAGAAAAAAATAGTGATTTTATCATTAGATTAGACAATGAATGAGAGAAAAAAACAAGTTTTGTTTGCATTGAATTGAATGCGAAATCAATTATAAAATGAAGAGATAATACATAATAAATGAGATATTTGTGTCAAAATCAGTGCAAACGTCACGATGTAATCAATTTTGTTGACCAAACATATCGTCTCATTGTTTACCACTTAATAATATTATGTATTATTAAATTCATTGTATTTTCGCATTCATTTAATGCCAGAAAAAAAGCAAAACATATTTCATAAAAAATCAATCAAAAAATACAATACCTTTTCATAAGAGACCCCTTTCTCTAACTTTTTCTTCAAATGCAATACATTTTCGATGTATTTATTCATCGCTTTATTTGCGGTCTTTTTTAATACCAATTGAGAGACAATAAGAGCACTGATTATATCGTAAACCAAATTAATAGCCAAAAAACCAATGGTTTATTCAATTGTGTTTTGGATGTGATGTTGAAAACACATCCAAACATACAATCAATTTGAATGTGTTATGAATGCACACAATATATGGGCCACTCGTCGCTCAATACACGCCAACACGAGTTGTCTTCAATTGATTGGCATTTAAATGATTGTGAAATACAGTGTTTATTATGCAGTAGTGTATGGACTGTACGGCCAATGCAATCAACGTATACCGCCGTTGCCATAGAAACGCGTCGCTTCACGAACACCGGTACAAGTGTTGGCACAGTTGGCGACACACAGTCCGCACGTCATTCAGCTCTTGGCTCTCACTTTCTTTCGGTCTTTCTTTCAATCGCTTACTTCTCATGTGTTTTATTATTTTCCATTTATTACTATATAATTAAGTCTACAATTAAAACACAATTTAAGTGCTATTCAAAAAGGGGTCCAAAAGTAGTGAAATAAACGTAATGTTGTTTAGTATTTGTTTGGTTTGCGTAATAAAATTTCCAATATTTGCGCACAAATAATGTTTGTATTCAATAAAATCCATAGATTTTACATTAAAGACATAAATTTCGTCGACTTTTGTAGAGTCAACAACAAATCTGTGCCAAATAAAAGTGGGTTTCGTAAATTATATCTAGTTAGTTTAGCACGGTAGATTTGCCATATTCTAACCATGGTGCTTCACGTCATATTCAATGAGTGCAATTGTTATAGATTGGCATTTAAAATGCATAATAGCGCGGACAGGTGTACAAGAATATGATCGAAAAGGAAAACATATGGTCACTCTATGCCGCCATATGACTGGTGCAGTGTATGATTGGTTGGTTGGTGTTATGGGCGGAGAATGGGGTGAGAGTTGTATTGGGAATGAAAGTCATTGTATTTCATGGAGTGTTTGGACCACATATGAGTGGCCCATATATTGTGCCATAGATTGTGTGCATTCACTGGCAGTCATCAAAGCGTTCATGAAATACGAGTCAATAGTATTGTGTTTTTGATGACAAAAAACACATCAAAACATTGATTTGACGCAAAAAGCAATCATTATTTTGATATACATTTGGTTTACAATAATTATTATTGTTTTTAATTGTCATTAATTGTTACAAAAAGACCGCAAATAAAGCGATGAATGAATACATTGTGAATGTATTTCATTTGAAGACATCGT